TTTTTGTAAAATAATTTTATAATTATTAAAATATTTATTAATATCTTTAAGATTATCTTAACTTTATTGAAAAAAAAATAGCTAGTTTCTGTAAAGTACTACTCCCAACTTAGGACTTCCCAAATAGGTTTTTGGTTATTTTGATTTCTTAGATTTATTATGCCAAAGCTCTCATTACTAGATAGCATGACTGAGATTGCAGATTTAATTCTAAATTCAACCAATAATCGATAACTATCAACTATAAACAGGTTTATTTTTTAAAATTATTATTCATGGGATTTGAACTTTAGACTTGCCACTTGAAGAGGGTGATGACTAGACCACTACACTAAGTCACCACACCTCTTCTACTTAATTCATATATTCTCTCTTATTTATATCTTTATAAGTTCTATTTTTATTCACTTTCTTTTGGCTGTAAATTTCAATCATTATCTATATCTTTTGCTTATATATTCCATTCATATAGCTTTCTATCCAATATTATCAGATTAGCTCTATATCTAATCAATTATTCCCATTTTCTAGATGCATTACTATTTGCTAGCAAATTATCTTGTTATATTTGGATGATTTTGAAATTGTTGAAATAGTTGAATATTTTGGTAGTAAAATTATCTAAAACAAACTAGTAAATTAAAAGTTATTTAAACTTAAAGTTTTAAAAAATAAACCTTAATTATAAATTATTCAAATCAGCCCATATGAAATTTATTATAGATAAACAGCACCTAGATTATTTTATTAAATGTTATGAATAATAAATAATATAAAAAAAATACTAAATTTATACAACTACATTATATTTAATATCAAAATTCTTTTTTTATAAACATGTGACTATCGGAAAATTGGGGAAAATTTCCTCTGAATTGCCAAACGGTTTAAGGGATACAGAGAAGGCTATCGCTATTTATTTACATCTAAAAACTTTATGAACAACGAACCGGTACATTGCCCTGTACGCAGCCCAAAACATTTCCACTAGTATCGTAAGCTGATAAAAAAAAAAAAAGCATGATTACTATAAAATTCTTCGAATTCCCAAATTAAGTTATTTATGATTTACGACTTACCATTCAAAACGACATTGGCACCGGCAAGTTCTATAGCTACACAAGCAGAAGTTATACTTGTTGGTATATTCTCAGTAATATTGAAACTAAAAGGTCCGGCTGCAATAGGACACGTAACATAATCACACGTTTGAACTGTATAGTTGCTTCCGTATACCGATGCGACGATACTACCACCAGTGATTTGTACGTCGGTCGTTCCAGAAATAGTGGCGGTTAAGGAAGATAAGTATAAGGGGATCGGATTTGGTAAAAAATTTAAGTTCGTAATATGATATGATCCTGAACATTGCGTTAAATCTCGTTTTCGGAGAGCAGTGGGAAATGAACTACCGTTTTGAATGAGAAGAACAATGAAAAAGAGTAAGGTAAAGAATTTGGATGATAGGACGGACATTTTTTCAAGGTTATTGTTTTGAATATTATAAATGAAAACAGCAACGAATTTATAGGGATTCGCAGATGGTAGCCAAGATCTGTCTTATGTAGTTATAGTAACCAAAAACCAAAACTTTACAAAAAATGTCTATAAAACTATAAAATCATTAGAGTTAGACACATTTGTCAATTTGTTATGTCAAAGTCTCCCATATTTGGCATTACATTGAAAGAAAAAACTACCCAAATTGTCTACATGAAGATCAAATAAGTGATTACTATTTTTAGTTTCAATGGGTAATTCGCCAAGTGGAAACTAGCAATTCTAAATATAGATTATGAATTTCATAATAATCTATATTTAGAATTGCTGATTTACTTGGCGAAATCATATATCGATATAGTCGACGTCAAAATTAATTTACGAAATTTCTATCAGATATAGATAAATGCGAAAATATAATTCTGCATTGCCGCAATTCTGCTTACTTTAGTAATTTTGACGTCAACTATATCTAAACACCAAAATATTATAAACCAGATTCGCGATGCAACTGTTGAAAGTTGTAATGAGAATTATGTGTACTTTAATAGATTAGTTTAAAGGATCTAAGACAAAATAACATAGAGGAATAAAAGATGCCTAGCCTAAGAGCTCATCCAAATTGTACGCCTCGGCTAAAATGCTTTTACTTGTGTCTTGTCTAATAGAATTCGGCATATTTTTGTCTGATATGTCACACAATCCTTAATAAAGATTCTGTAAAATTAATTTCGGAAAATTTACCAATTCAATATTACGATACCTTCATAAAATTATTTCACTATTATTTCAACAGCATCTTTAGTTCTGAGATGCACGCATTCGGTTTTAATCTCGTACAGTTAAAAGTTCAAAAAAATAAAATAAAGATAAATACCGTAAATGGCCAGATACAAGATCTCCCTAGATAGTACCCACTACGTACTATACCCGCGTCTACAGTATAGGATAAAGTTTTGATAAAATGTGGGTATACAAATAGGAAAAAACTATAAACCTTCCAATTATCAGACTCGCACCCATACAAGAGACTCGTGGGTCTAATTATAAGTTTTAAAATTAGTGAAACGTAACAAACCCGGGGCTTGTATCCGGTCATTTACGGTAAATAAATAAATAAAAATAAAAAATAAAACAAAGTAAAATCATATTAATTAATTACATCGGAGTATCTGAATTTAATTTGTGCATATAAGGTGAAGGGAGGTAATTTGGCGGTGGTAAAAGTGGCGGATCAACTTATATTAAAGTTTACATACGATTTATGAATTGAAAATTAACGATTCATATACCATTCGATTCGTCTCACCAAGGTGAATCAAAATGGTGTATGAAACATTCGATTCTGATCAACGGATTGCAAAATAATTACACAAATACTCTTTAACAGAAAGCAGTAATACTGCGGCAGATTGTCATAATATTGACACCTGCAAAACGGCGAGTCAATCGCTCCACAACCCAAGACATCGTGTAACCTAAAACCGGCTTAGTCGAATAGGGGCGTTTAGATTTGGCGAGTGAGGGTTTTTGATAGCAGGTATATTTTCCTTGAGTAGAGAACACAATATCGCTTATACTTTTTATCCAAAATAATTCCAACAAAACCACGGGCTGGGACCTTCCACTTGGACCTCAAACCGGAATAAACCAACCACAACAGTCCACGGTATGTTGGGAGTGTTAGACAATAACAACCATGGTGGTTCTCAGTACATCGAGAATCAACTGGACAGAGTTTCGGTATGCTTTTTGGCTATCACATAAGCAAGAAAAGAACAATCGTACTACTTATGCAGTAGACCAGGGCGTAAGTATATTTACTATATTGTAGAAAAGGTATAGAATTATTAAGAGGCGATTTTTATGTGAATTATAAAGGATATCTTCCTCAAGGGTGAGAAGCCTTTATTATATACTTTATCTATCTTATGACTTATTAAAGGCCTTATTCATGACACATCTTTTTAACTATTTATCTTATGCAAACTCAATATTACCCACTTAATTATACATATCATTGATGTCAGAATTTCCTCTTATTTATCATTTATACTTTTTCTCTTTTTCAACATAATATACCAGAAACCTATTTTTGGTAAATGATCTTTACAGCCGCTAAGCTGCTACTATACCACATCCTTCATATGCTTCCAGTGTCAAAATTCTGTGACCACAATATGTATTGTTGGCATGTCAGATTAACTATAGCTGTTGCAACAAAATTGTCATAACAGATTCTTGATTTTGATTGGCTAATAGTGATAACCAAACAATTAGGCTGAAATTACTCGGAATTTTACTAAGAGAAAATTTTTTCTGAACCAAATTTATTATAATGCAGGCTTATCTTTTAAATTTTTTATATTTTTAGAAAAAAAATTAAAAAGTTAATTTTGGCTAAAAATTAGATGTAATATGGGCCAAATTTTTGAAAATTCTTGGTTGTTAGCCAATCAAAATTGAGGATTTGCTGCAACAATTTTGTTGTAGTAGCTATGGTTAATAGTATGTTAGAATTTTGTACCAGATTATATTAATCATGTTGATTATTACATATATAACATCCAATTAACTAATCAAAAATTAAGGTCTTTATATGGGGGGGGTGCCAGTAGAAACCAAGCAATTTGTTTCTAAGTAAATTTTTTTAAAACTTTAAAGCAAAATATCTCAACAATTATTAAACCAAACTTGATAAATTTTTTTTTATTTTAATTATATATAGTTATAGAATCAAAATAAAAAAAAATTACCAAGTTTGGTTTAATAGTTGTTGAGATATTTTAATTTAAAATTTTAAAAAAACACACTAAAAACGAATTGCTTGGTTTCTACTGGCACCCCCCATATGAATTCTAAATAAATAATTTTTTAAATTTAAAATAATATATTTACAAAATGTTGAACGTCATAAAATTGTTACACAATTGATAAAAATTTTTTTTATATTATTTTACAATACTTTTTTGGAAGACTCATTTGACTTATCTTTTCTATGAATATTGAAAATGATTAAACAAACATGAAGCTCTCACTTTGCTTTACAACATATATTTTGACCCCTTGAATTCCATGGTTTCGTCATATTGTAAATTTCGCAATTTGATTGGTTGACTAATCCCGTAGTGATATTTTGACTAGTCGATACAATGTGTGATCTGTGTAACGAAGAATGAAAATCATATCTATATTTGGATGGTTCCTCCTGTTTATTTACAACTTGCTAACAAAGCTTAATATTTTTTTACTTTATTTATTTTTTTAAAAGAGAATTTCTAATTTTAACCGGGAGAAATTACCTGGAGATGCTGTATCTCAAAAACGTACTAAGTAAACCAGATCGGGTACTCTAAGTAAAAATGTTCAGGACTTCCAAAAATTAAGATCGGGCCCTATCGGGCCCTTATAGTAGCTCTATATTATTTTATATAAAAAAAAAACAATTTTCTAATTTCTAACCCTAACTCTATAGATAATTAGGGGAGGTAATTTCCCCTTGGTTAAATGTAGTTATTTTCTTTTTAAAAGACCTTGTTTATATCTTTATTGAATATTCTTTTATTTTAATTTTATTAATTTGTAGAATAAAATAAAAAAATTATCAAATTTTATCAAGCAGTTATTAAGATATCTTGTTTAAAATTAAGTTAAAATTTTAAATATTTATTAAAGAAAAATTCTAGGCATCTCTAGCTAGAAATATTTAGTACATATTTCTGGCCCAAAACTACACTCAATTATATAATTTTAATTAGAATTAAGATTATATAGTATTAGGTAAAAGCAAGTACTATAAATAAAATTACCTTTCTGATATTTTTAATTAGTGTTTCAAAATAGATTTAGATAGCCATTTCTTGTATTTTTTATATTTTTTATATTTTTGTTTTTTAGTTTTTTTGTTTTGTTTTTGTTTTGCTAGACTAATCTATAATTATTGTTCTTTATGCTACCTTTATACTATACAAAATAGCTATTACATGATTTGTTTGTTTTTTAATTAGCTCCTAGATCTAAAATATTATTATTAGATATTTTTAGCTAGAGATGTTTATAAGTATCTTTTATTAAATAAAAACTATAACAAAATTTTTTAAAACTTTAAACAAAGATATCTTGACAACTACTTAGTAAAATTTAAACAATTTTTTATTTATTTTACCGTAAATCGCCATATACAAGACCCTGCGTGACAAATAATGTAGATCAATTTTTAAAATAGTATTTATACATCAA